TGGGTGGGGATGCAAATCCAGACCATACAAAAGGACATAAAGTATTCCCCCACCACCTGCCCCCTCCCCCCCCCTTTTTTTTTTGCAGGGTAAGTATAGTTGAATTCCAGTAAAATAAAAAAAAAATGCATGTCTGGTGGCCATTCCACTAAGTATTCTTTCTCAAATGATTTAACCCCCTCCTTCTGTGGGGAGGGAGCAGAACACTTTATGAACTTAAAGAATCATGTCAAATTCTTGACAAAATGTTTGCCTGGGATTATTTCAACATCCCCTTCCTGACTGACAAGGAAAACTACCTTCAGAAAGTTAGAGCTGGAAGAAATAGTTCGAGGCTAAAAAAGAGAAACAGCTAGCTCTGAAAGTTTATCGACTGACCGGGTACTGTGGAGAGGTAAGTTGTCTGGATTGTGGATGCGATTTCTTTGGAGACATAAAACATTGAATCTCTTGAGGCCTAAAAGGAAAGAAAGTTTTATTTTGGTTCACTGTAGGAACTTAGGTCTGATTTCAGGGAAACTGAGACTAGCCCGGCAGAAAGTATGCATATTTGAAATACCCAAAGAATCACTAAGAAAACTCCCTTGTGCACCATAATGTCTCCCAGCTGGAGGCTAGAAGGTCACTAACCCGGACTTATTTCTTGTGATTAAAGCTGTGCTTTCTGAGACTGTAATCTTTAGTGGCAAGTGACTTCGGAGGTACTCATGGGGGATGCAGGGTTGTATTGTGGCTGGATACCAGGCTTGTGTGCGTAGCCTGGCTCCATCAAGCATCTACCACCTTCCTAACTTACCTGAGCACATCCAACTCTTTAAGCCTAACTGACCTCTTAAAATGAGGGTAATAATAATGCCTATTTCCTAAAAATGTGGTAAAGGTCAAAATATTGCATACATATGGCCTTTTGCTCAGTGCCTAGTATATGAGTGCTCAGTAAACCTTAGCTATTATGATAGATATTAGTAAGTATTTTTTAGCCACCTTCACCAGGGTGCATTTAGTTAATCAGATTGATTTCCACAGTAATGGTTCCCTAAGAATACTGGAAAGGTAGGAGAGAGAAGTCTTTCTTGATCTGTGAGGGGGAAATGAAGATAGTATAATTGTGGATCAAGGAGGAGAGGAGGGCTTAGTCACGAGGCATACCTGGATTTTCAAACCTTATTTTATTACTTGTGGTACTTGTGATATTAACTTGGGAATCTACATAATTCTCTTGGCCTCAGTTTCTTTTTACATAAAAAAGTGCAAAGCAATACCTGCCTATTTTCTAAAGTGGTATCTGGAATAGGGTAAGGAGAGGGTAAATGAGTACATGATAAGTAACAGCTACCTTAGGTAGGACTCCAATACTTTGGGGCTCTTTTTATTAGTTGCTTATTTTTCCACATTGGCCTAACATCTATGTTTTTATTGGGATCATGCTACATTTAAAAGTTATTGAGGCTTAAAGAGGAAGGAAATCACGACATACGTTACAACACAGATGAGCGTTGAGGTCATTATGCCAAGTGAAATAAGCCATTTGCAAAAGGACAAACACTGTGTAATTCCACTTAGATGAAGTGCCCAGAGTGGTCAGATTCACAGAGACAGAATGTAGAATGGTGGTTGCCAGGAGCTAGGGAGAGGAGAACCCGGTAATTATTGTTCAGTGGGGATGTAGTTTCAGTTTTACAAGATGAAAGAAGTCCGGAGATGGAGAGTGGTAATGGTTCACCACAATGTATTTGACAATGTATTCAATACGGCTGAACTGTACACTTAAAATGGTTAAGATGGTAAATGTTATGTTACATGTATTTTATCACAAGGGAAAGATAATCTAGGGAGAACTGACATCTTCTTATAATTGGGTTTTCCTGTCCTTGATATTCCACAAATACTTCATATTCATTCACCTTTGTAATTGTATTCTTCAGGAGCACTTTAACATTTTCCTGATATACATTTGTACATTTGTTATTAAATTTTTTTATCTAGGTATTTTCTGTGTTTAGAGGCTACTGCAAATATGAGCTTCTATCCCATTTATCTTCAGACTAGCTGTCATTTAAAAATAAAACATCGCGAAAAAAGCCATCACGAAACGAACCATATGTTGTAATACGTAACTTACAAGGTCTTCATTCTGCAGGAAAGGCAGAATGAATTAGTTTCAGAACCATTTCAACAAATAAAATTTGTACAGACATTTGTTCCTATCATTAAGTTACTGTAATACATGCTAGCTACGTAGTTTCTGAAATCTAAACCACAAAAAGGGATGGTTGTTATTGGAAATAATAAGATACCAAAGCACAATTGGAGATACAGTTGTAAAGGATACAGTTTGTTCTCATAACTCCTCCCTGTCTTCCAATGGGTGACCTTAGTCTCTGGAAGGCCCTCTGCTTTGCGGATGGTCTAGCTGTGAGCAGACAAATTCAGAGGATTTTGGTTGAGTGGCAATAAATGGTTTGGGTAAGAAATAGAAGAGAGGCTTAGACTTCTGGGGAAAGATCCTGGAATGTGAAAGCCTGGAATGAGCTGGGCTGGAAATTGGAGGGGAAAGGAGTGAGAAGGAAGCCCTCTAGCTGAATAGAAAGTTTGGGAGTGAAAGGAACATGCTGCACTGCGATATTTTAATTTTGTGTTGAGTGTCAGGCCATGTCAACCTTTTCTCCAGTGAAATGGTTCTTACAGGTTGAGAAATCAATCCTTATGAATATTTGCACCTATGTTTTCCAAAAGCAATCCATAAACATTTTTATTTTTCCAAAATTGGGTTACTTCTCCCATCATGACTCCCATCCTGACTGCCTAGTGTTATAGTCAATTCTTATTTGTGAAATTTTGTGTTTTAGAAACAAAGTTTCTCTTTCATTTCCAGCAATTGACTCTAATAAGTCTGATACTTGTTGCATTTTTGATAAAGCAAAAAGCCTTGCTGAGGTCATTTGTGTTTGCTGTGCTCCACTCTTGCTCTTCCAGATGACCTCCATACTACATTGCTGGCTTCTTGTTGGGTAAGTTCTTGGCTCTCAGGTCACCAGGTCTTAGCTTTTGCTTGGGATATGCCCATGTCTAAAATTCCTTTATTTATTTTTATTTCTTTATTGCAGTTTCTCTTCCTCAAAAGCTTTGGTGGAAAGATGAACGTGGATCTTGTCTACTTTGTTACCTGTTGTATTCTTGGTGGTCAGAATAGTGCACATGGTAAGCCCTCAATAAATATTTGTTGAATGAACAAATGAATAACATATGGTTAAACCTCTGCATTTCTTTTGCTCTCTTAAGTTGCAATTTGTATCTATGGTATTGGCTGAAATGCAGGTTCCATATAAATACAGGTTCCACATTGCAATACTTAAGAAATTATATGACAGTAAGGGATTAAGAAAATGACTTTTGAGTTTCCTCTCTACTCGCAGCTTTTTAATATTAAATGACCTTGGGTTCTCACAAATAACAATAATGATAAAAGACACACAAAAAATAATGTAAAGCTAACAAACTCAAACAATCCCAGATGTTAAATATTTAGCAGCACAAAGAAAGAAAGGAGAAATTAGGGTAGGAAGGAATGAGTGGGTTGGGTTCGTATTTGAGAATATTTTGGTTTTTTGCTTGCTATGAAGGCCCTACTTTTCTTCTTTATATGACACACACTGTGATTTCTGGCAACATATTTATTTTAGCCCACTTATAAAATCTATTTTTAAAAGTAAATAACATCTGCAAAGCAGAAAAACGTTTTGTTAATGGATACAAAAATAGATACAATGAATAGGAATCTAGTATTTGATAACACAAAAGGATGACTCCAGTCAGCAATAATTTGTGAACATTTTAGAATAACTGAAGGAATACAATTGGAATGACCGTAACCCAAAGAAATGATGAATGGCTGAGGGGACACACTCTGTTTACCCGGGGCTGATTATTATACACTGTCTGCCTGTACCAAAATATCTCATGTATCCCATAAATATACATACCAACTGCTAGGCATGCTCTGAATGAAGAGACTACCTAAACAGGCTTTGTGTGAGCAACAAGGATGTTTATTCACGAAGGTGCAAGGAGGGTGAGTCCAAAGAGAGAGTCAGCAGACGGCACTGGGATAGGAGTTGGTTTTATAGGTTTGGGGTAGGCAGTGGAAAGTTACAGAAGCTACAGTTCAGGGCCATTTTTTGCAAGGTGCAGGCGGGGGGTGTTGCATCAGGTGGGAGGTGTCACAAGGTCCAGTGTTGCAAGGTTGGGTTATCAGTTAAGGCAAGAATGGTTGAAGCAGGAACAACGGCAAAATGTTGCGAGGTCAGTTAACTAGGCACTGCAGTAGCTAAGTATTTTTCTTCTTTTCAGGTTTTCTGGTTATTCCAGACTTTCCAGCTCTGGGAGGCCTTCTGGAGGTGTACGTGCAGGTCACAGGGTTCACCATAGCTTAACAGTGGTGTAGCCCATGGTGTAGTCAGTTCAAGGAGCTTGGCACCACTATATACCCATGAAAATTAAAAATAAAAAATTTTAAAAAGAAGGAAAGAAAAATACCTTAGTCAAAGATTTGGAATTAAATATGTTAAATTTTAAAATAAAATTTTATTAGGTTCAAAAATATTTGTCACCAAAGCAATAATATTAATGTAGCCCACATTTACTGAGTAAATTTTAAAAACTAAAAGATGAGCATAAAACAACTAGGCATTTAACTCAAGATTCTAGAGGGGAGAAAAGCAATAAACAATAGGAAGAAGAAATAAATAAAAATAAATGTGAAAATTTATAAATTTAAAAGCAAGTATACAAACTTGGAGGGTGAAAGTAAGTTTTGAATACATGAAAATGAAAGATGTCTGTTAAGTAAAAGATTCTGAAAAAAGCTAAGACATATGCAATATATTAAGAGAAGATATTTGCATCATTTATAACTAACAAGTAATATCTAGAAAATACAAGAAACTTCTTCAAATGAACAACAGTATCAACTATCACTACACCAAGTGAAACACTCTGGAAGAAAACGAGGAGCAGATTCGGAAAAGTAGAAAGCGTCATGAATGGCAAGCAAGCACATCAATAGATGGTCAACTGCGTCATAATTAGAGTGCTTCACAGGAAAGTCTCAGCTCTTAGAGCTGGCCAGCAAGCTTTGATATACAAATACAGGCCATTAGAAACTGGGTCCACCCAAACATGGCGGTTCCTGCCCTCGTCTTCTTGTCCTTGCCCTCACATGCGCCTGGCAACATGGCCGCCCTCACGTATTCCCACATGTGTAGAACATCACGGCTAGGATGGGAGGTCCGGTTTTTTCCAGGTCTACATGAGTTACACGCCTGGTCAAACCAATCTCCTGAGCCTTATGCAAATCAGACACCACCTCCTTCAGCCTCCTCATATAAGCAGCCACTTTTCCGAGGCACACAGGGTTTCTGCTTTTGGCTTTGGAATCCCCCTCCCTCTGTCTCTGTTTGGGGGAGCTTCTTCCTTCTTTCTTGCCTTTTAAACTCTCTGCTCCTTAAACACACATACCTACACACTCTCCGAGTGCTTCAATGAAAACAACGAGAAACCATTTTATCCCCGTCATAGTAAATAATTAGAGAAATCTGATATTACTGTATATTAGCAGGGTTTTGCAGAAAATGACAATCTTCTTGCACTGCAGGTGAAAATGTAAAATGATGCAGCCAATCTGGAGAGCAACCTGGGAATAACAGGAGAAGTGGCATGCGTCTGCACACAACAAGCGTGCAGTAGTTCTTTCCAGTATAACCCATGGCTAGTGAGTAGAATTTTGGTTTTGAAGGGAAAATTGCTATCAAGTCCCCAAACAAGGGTGAAGTTGGCAACAGTCTTTACATGAGATTTGTTTTGTTATGCAATCTAGGTACTTGAAACCCTTCCGGATGGTAGGGCTTGGGAGTTTGTATCAGCTTTCCCCAGTCTCACATAGATGCTCAGGGGACCGTGTTAGAGGATATTTATTGAAGAGATGTACATGGTAGCAGCTGCTTATTTGTAGGGCAGGGATAAGTAAAATATGGGGCAGGTATGCCGCAGAACGCCTCGCAGCTGTTAGAAGAGAGGGACTGGATGAGCATTGTGGAAGGCTGGATGACAGTGCTCCAAAAAGGGCTACATCCACGTGTCCAGAACCTGTGCAATTAAGCTGGTGATCTCGAGCTGGGGATGGTGATCTCGGGTTCCTTGGGTGGACCAGTGTGATAACAAAAGGAGGCAGTAGGATCAACAGTCAGGAGTGGAAGATGCGATGAAGGAAGTAAGAGATGGGAGTGAAACAAGGAAGCAGTCATGAGCCAAGGAATGCACGTGGTCTCAGAACCTCCAGAAAGGACCAGTTCTGCGGACATCTTGACTTTAGCCCAGTGAGACTCATTTTGGCCTTCTGACCTCCAGAACAGTAAAAGAATAGTGTGTGTGTGTGTGTGTGTGTGTGTGTGTGTGTAGGCATAACTAAGAATCTTTATTGATGGACATTTACATTGTTTTCAATCTTACTATTTTAAATAGATCACAAAATGTAAATATGTCATTGTGCACGTGTTAGTTTGTCTTTAGGATAAATTTCTAGAAGTGCCTGGTTAAGGCATATATATTCGTACATTTTTGATAGATGGCTTGTAATTCTGTCACATTGCCCTCCAGGGGGTTTGTAACTATTCGCATTCCTGCCTCTTCTCCCACAGTCTTGCCAAGACAGCCACCAAGCTTCTGGATTTTTGTCCATCTAATGAGAGAAAAGTAGTTTTTCAGTGTATTTTTAATTTGCATTCCTCTTGTAAGTCAACATTGATCATCTTTTCACATGTTAAAAATAACTTGCAGTTCTTTTGCTGTGAACAATCTGTTCCTATTCTTTGCTCATTTTTCTACAGGGTTGATGATCTTACTGATTTGTAAGCTCCTTATGTAAGAGATTAACCCTTTGTAATAGGAATTGTGAAATTTAGCAAACTATTTATGGCTTCTAACCCAGGTTATCATTTGTTTCTTTGCTTTGCCTGCAGGCGTGTGTGTATGTGTTTGTGTGTGTGTCTGTTGCCATGCAGGATTTGTATAGTCACTGTAACTATACAAATCATTGTATGTATACATATGTGTGTGTATACATACAATGATTGTACAGTGATGTGTATATAATCATTAGAGTGATTGTATAGTGGTATAGGCTCCATCCCAGCCTCTGGAGCCTCCGATGTATCATATCACTATACGTATATGTATAGATATCACTATGCATGTATAGATATCACTATGCATGAATAGAATATAATATGTACACATATCACTATACAATCATTGCTATGGCTTCTGAATTTTAGGTAATAGACTTTCCCGCTTACGGGTTATAAAAGAATGTGATATGTTTTAGATAATTTTTTTAGAGAACATGTATATACATTACTATACAATCTTGTTATGGCTTCTGAATTTTAGGTAATAGACTTTCCCGCTTACGGGTTATAAAAGAATGTGATATGTTTTAGATAATTTTTTTAGAGAACATGTATATACATTACTATACAATCTTGTTATGGCTTCTGAATTTTAGGTAATAGACTTTCCCAGTTACACATTACAAAAAGAATGTGCTGTTTTAGAGAATTTTTTTTGTTGTTATTAGAAGCCATTAACTTTGTAATAAATTATTATAGCAGCAACAGGAAACTAACATAAGCAACAATGTGGATAGATTTTAATATCAAACAGCTGAGTAAAATAAATTTGAAAACATATTCTATTTTTTCTAAGATGCACACAGACCCTAGGACTGTAAGAAGTATATTCAGGAAAAGGGAATGGGAGCGATGATAATGGTAGAGTGAAAAGACAAAATAATTAAAATAATTAAAATAATTACACTGTTTTGTCCAGACTAACTGTGATATGAGTCATGAAGAAGAGAGTATAGTTACACATCTCTGCATCTGAGATCTCCCATAACACTTCTTCTATCATACTGTAAACAAACAAATAAGGAAAACAATGGGATAGAATTGGCATGAAAACACAGAGCTGGTTCTGTGGGAAGACAGGTAAATGCTGGTTTCTGTGACCACAAAGAAAGGGAAGAAAACACATTATCATTTGGTGTAAAAAACTGGTTTTGCCACAGATATAGAAGATACTTAGAAATTAAATACTATTTACAACATTAAACACATAAATGGAATATTTAAATGAAGTAAATCTTTTTTGGGGAGAATTATAAATTACCAAAATTGATCCAAGGAATGGCTTAAAAAGCCTCAATTAGGTGGAAAATCAAAGAGGAATTTAAAACATTCTCCCAAATCTAATCCTCCAGAAGCCAGATCCAGAGATTTCAATAAAACCCAATTTCATCAATATCGTTAATAAATAGGTGAGTCCTTAGTCTGTTCTGGAATATAGAAAATGACAAAAACCTTTTGTCCTACCTGTAATAGTAAGCCTAGCTAAGACTAGCAGTATGATAAAGAGGAATTCCTGTTTAAGAAGCAGGTGACCTGTATCCATAGGCTACATCCACAGGCTCCATAGGCTGGGACAGAGCCTATATCAATTCACAGGCTACACCCATAGGCTCCATCCCAGTCTAGTGTCTGAGCCAATTCTGACTGCATATAGCCCCAGTCTACTCTTCCCCACCTCTACAATCGAAGACAGACTTTCATAGTTACTGGATGGTTCAGTCAGGGCTGACCACTGAACACCAACACTGTTCCCTAGCAATCAAAGCTCCCCACATCACACTGTTCACCTCATCCCCCAAATAGCTTCATTTTCATGTCAAGGATTCTGTCTTTGTTCCTGCCAATCTGTCCATTTCTAGTCCAGGGTTTCCTGACTTGGTGACTACGGACAGCTAGAAGGTTGCAGGCATCAGCAGCAAGGGATTTGAGAATGGTTTCTTATACCAAATGTATCTGTAGATTGAGTATCTTATACACATAAGTGTGGCTGTTTTTCCAAATGAACTTCTATCAGTCTGAGGTCAAGCAAGAGGTGGAAACCACATAGTAATGTAAAGCAAGAGAAGTTTAATGTAAAGAATTATTCGACAGTGATAGAAGAATAACTCTAACAATGTAAAGAGAACTTTCAAGGGTATCTGAGGATTGAGGGAGAGTACCCAAGGAAGGACAACTTGGAAAGAGGGTTTACTTCCTAAGGCTGGGGTTCAGACCTTGTTGGAGAAGGTGTGTTTGCAGTCCACCAGATGTCAGAGAAGCCTGATATTTTCCAGGACCAGAGCTGGTCCATAGATGCTGGGCAAATAGGATGCAATCTCTTGGAGCACAGGCAAACTGAAGCTGTGGCTGAGTGCAGTCAGGCCACTGCAGGCGACGTGAGGCCTGGAGTACACACTGCCAGTATTGCAGGCTGTGAGAAGGTGGCTACAGGCTCAGGATCAGATCAAATAGTCAGCGAGAGACTGTGCCTCTGGACAGGTGGTAGGGGCAGGGCACAGCAGGATGGTCCTATACATAGTACCACTAATGGATTACGCAGCTGGAGCAAGAAGAAGAAAAGTAGCATACCAGAATCAGGAAGAGAAACTCGCTTTCTTCTGCAATACTGCTCCAGTGGCATCTGCTAACAAAGCTTAGTACTGTGCTCACCATAAAGGAGAAATGCTTAAAGGGTCCAGTGCATGTTTGTAGAGCAGCTGTGGAAGAAACCGGGAATGAAGAGGTAATACATTGAAAACTGGTATAGCACTGGTAGAATTAGTGAAATACAAATTTATGTCAAAGCTCTGCTAATTCCTAGTGGATTTTTATAGTTACGTATTTTTGATGAACAGATTTTTATTGTTATATATTTCTCAATTAACAGATATAAAGAAGATGACAATTAGCATGTGGGGAGTCCACACGACATTTTGATATTAAACGTGGGTTCTTCTTCTTGACAAGGGGGGAATATGCTGCTCTAGCAAGATTGCAATGATGAACCCCAGGTAATGCCCACGTGTTGGCCTGACTCTAAAACAGCGTTGTCTGGTCCAGCTGTCAGGTTTCTGTAACTCGTGCTATTAACTCTAGTGTGACTCATTTGCATAAATTATGGTTGCAATTTCTGAGCTCCTGGTGTATCACTTCTTGACCTTCTTAGTCCCAGGATGCAGTCAGCCCTGCAAAACCTGATCTTTTCTCAAACTACCTATTCATTTGTCTCAAAAAGCAGTCTGGCCATTTGTCCTTCTCACGAGCTAGCACAGTTAATTGAATGAACGAGTGAATGAATGAATGCCTGTCCCTGTCCTCCATGGCTTTGAGAATTATTATTAAAAATGTATATAAAGCGTGTGTGGAAGTGTACAAAGTATCGTAATTCATCATAATTGCTATTACTGATAAGACCAGCACTTTTAAATGAGGCTTTCTTTGCATTTCAGTAGATCTCATTTGCAAATGGTGCTTTTTAAAAAGTGGTTTCTACTTTTATAACCAAGCTCAATGGTAACTAAGCAATTCAGAAATTCTGTGGCATCTACATTATTGATAAGACTCTGTCATTAGACTCTGCTTACTTGCAGACTCACGTCTAAACATTCAGCTATAGCAAGATTCTGTCCCAGATGCCAAATCACCTGGTTAGGAAGACAGAAACCATCTCACATTGCATCTAAGAACTCTGACCTGAATGACATTTTCCAGGAAGCAGGTGAAAGTCGGGGAGAGGAAAGAAGAAGGGAGAATTAACAGCAAAAGTTGGTTTCGTTTAAATTGAAACAAGCAGGCCAGCTGACACTGTGCTAAGTGCTCACTTTGCAGGTTAAAGTTTTTCCTTAAACTCATTTTTTTTTCGGTAAAAGAAAAAAGAACAAGACAACTCCGGGATACAAATTGTGAAACTTGTAATGATGATGTGATACCTTAATTTGGTTAAAATGCATGACAGTGTAAGTCAGGACAGCCTTTGGCTGACACAAATGAGGAGTTACGCTCAAGTGCACAAAAGCTTTCCCATGAGCCACTTGTTTTTGGGTTTAATAAGGCTTCATCTCTTTAAGTGGATTACCAGTAAATTCTTCTGCTAGTTAATGCTAGAAAACAAATGGGAAGCTTGAGGTTTTTCCCCACAAGATGGCTATTTCTAATATCAAGATTGTCACAGCTATTTGGGGGATGGGAGTACAAAGGCAGGAGAAAGCATCAAAAAGTGTTTTGGGGTCTGGAAGTAACATGAAGAAACTCGCCTAAAGAATAAATATGTTTCCCATCCAAGTACTTACCAGGCCTGACCCTGCTTAGCTTCCAAGTGTCTTTTTCTTTGAATTTTTGGCTTGCATTTTTATTAAAGTATATAATATATATATTATATATATAAAGTATATTACATATATATAAAGAAATACATATATATATAAAGGAGAATATGTGTTCAGGCTGCTGATGTACACAGCTAAGCAGCCTAAAAAACTGATGTCATAATTCTAGTTGAAAAGGCCTCAGAAGTTCACTAGTCAAGCCCCTTTCTAGTATAAAGGAGGAAACTGAGCCCTGGAGATTAGAGAGGAATTTGTCTAAAATCTCCTACCTGATTGTTGGCAGAGCTATGTCTAGTGAACAAGCTAAGAGATTTTGGCTACTATTCTTTTCACCAAATGTCACTGAACTTTAGAGGGACATGGCATTCTTATTTTTAATGTTTTCTGTTTTGAGGTGATCTAAGAGTTGCAGGGGTTATTTTTTTCTGGGAGGGGGGAATCTTAGTTATAAATGTTCTTTTCTCTAACTGCAACCTCCTTACAGGTTTCCTCTCTCTTTCCTCCAACTCTACTTCAGTATTTTTTTTTTTTTTTTTTTTGAGATAGGGTCTCACTCTGTTGCTCAGGCTGGAGTGCAGTGGTACCATATCGGCTCACTGCAACCTCCATCTCCTGGGTTTAAGCAATTCTCCTGCCTCAGCCTCTGGAGTAGCTGGGATTATAGGTGCGCACCACCATGCCTGGCTAATTTTTTATATTTTTAGTGGAGATGGGGTTTCAGCATGTTGGTTAGGCTGGTCTCAAACTCCTGACCTCAGGTGATCCGCCCACCTCAGTCTCCCAAATTGTCAGGATTATAGACATGAGCTGCCACACCTGGCCCAGTTGTCTTTCTTTTCCTTCCTTTCTTCCTTCCTTCCTTCCTGCCTTCCTGCCTTCCTTCCTGTCTGTCTTTCTTTCTTTTCTTTCTTTCTTTCTTTCTTTCTTTCTTTCTTTCTTTCTTTCTTTCTTTCTTTCTATTCCTTTCTTTCTTTCTCTTCCTTTCTTTCTTCTTTCTTTCTTCTTTCTTTCTTTCTCTTCCTTTCTTACTTTCTTCTTTCTTTCTTCTTTCTTTCTTTCCCTTCCTTCCTTCCTTCCTTCCTTCCTTCCTTCCTTCCTTCCTTCCTTCCTTCCTTCCTTCCTTTCTTTCTTTCTTTCTTTCTTTCTTTCTTTCTTTCTTTCTTTCTTTCTTTCTTTCTTTTTCTTTCCCTTCCTTCATTCCTCCCCCACCTTTCTTTCTTTCCTTCTTTCCTCCTCACTCTGTTGTCCAGGCTAGAGTGCAGAGATCTCAGCTCACTGCAACCTCTGCCTCCTGGGTTCAAGCAATTCTCATGTCTCAGACTCCCAAATAGCTGGGAATACAGGCACACATCACCATTCCCAGCTAATTTTTGTATTTGTAGTAGAGACAGGGTTTCACCATGCTGGCTAGGCTGGTAAACCTGGCCACTTGAACTCCTGGCCTCAAGTGATCCTCCTGCCTCGGCCTCCCAAAGTGCTAATATTACAGGCATGAGCCACCATACCCAGCCTACCACAGTTGTTTTCTAATCAATCATAGCATAACAGTCTTGTGACATTAGACATATTTCTTAGCTATTCTGTGTCTCAATTTCCACTCTAATATAGAGAAAACAATAGCACCTACCTCATAGGAAAAAATTAGTTAATACATATTTATACAATACTTAGCACCTGGCATATAAATGCTATATACATTTTAGCTATTTTTAGAGACAAAAATATTAGAAGAAAGAGTCCTATTCTGAAAAGTTTATGACACCTCAACCTGATAAAGACTTGCTTTAAGGTCCTGAGGTCAATCCCATTCTTAAGGACTGCACAGTGAGCCTCCAAAACACACATGGAGTATTGCAGGGGAAGGTCTAGGATGGAAAAGAAGGAAGGAAATGCCAGCTGGGGGGTTGGGTGAATAAGAAGGTAAGAGATTATAGAGAGGGAGAGGCCCATGTGAAGAGCAAAGAGCAGCAACTCTTTCGCTCCCAAGGAGTGTGTGTGTGTGTGTGTGTGTGTGTGTGTGTGTTCTAGGTATGCTATTATGATCACAACTAAGACATTATATTCATGTGATGCTTAAATCTCCAAGCGCTGACCTCTTATCTGAGTAAAAGTTCTGTATCTCTGATAGTCTGTGACTCCCCAGGCATATCCAACTATTCACTCAGCACAACACGAGTTTATTGTCTTAGACCTACCTCTGTTTGAAAACTCTCTGTCTGCCATCGGTAACACCTTCCCTCCAATCATTTAGGCTTAAGATCTGTAAATTTATTTGCAACTCTTTACTCTTAAAATTTAAGTTGTAATGTATGCTAGGTAAGTGATTATGAATAGGCTATTTATATTTCTGATCTTCGTATACTTATTTGTAAATTGTAGTCAATTTACTACCATATAACAGTGGTTGAAAAGAATACTGCTACTACTAGTATTAGTAATGGGGTAGAATAGTATTAATATTAGTAAGACTACTAAGTCTTAGAAATAAATACTGAGAAATACAATATTAGTATTAGAAATACTAATACTAATTGGTACTTAGAAATACAATACAGTATTAGAAATACAATAGCGTAGTAGTAATAATGGCGAACATTTATTCAGTTCTTTGTATTTTCTCATTTAATCTTCATAATCACTCTATGAGGCAGGTTGTATTTTTATCCTTAGGTCATAGAACAAGAAAATGAGGCTATGGAGGCTCATTCACATGTTTAGTAAATTTTTACTGATTCTCTAGTCTGTGCCGGGAACTTTTATAGAAGCTTGAGATTCGCCAGGACAGAAGACAAGGTCCTCGCTCTTATAAAACATACAACCTAGTGGGGGAAACCAAGTCAACAAATGAAATGATTATAAACTGTGAAGAGTCCTGTGAAGTAAACGAGAGTCTTGTGAGAGGGAGTAATAGGTGGCTTGGCCTATTACATAAGTCATGAAGACATCAGGAGCAAGATGACCTTTAAGCTGAGACATAGGATGAGGAGGATTCAACCCTGAAAAGGACTGAGGGGCGAGTGCCCAGGCCTCTGTGCAGGAAGGAGCTGGCGTACTTGAGAGACTTAAAGACAGGCAGGGCCTGAAGAAAAGTAGGGGCAGGGACGTTGGGGAGGATGAGGATGGGGAGGAGGGGCGTGGCCTAGAACATGGAGGCCCCCATGCATCATGGCTAGCAGTTTGGAGTTTTATTCTCACGCAATGGCAAAGCTGAATACAGTGAAAGCTGAGCAGTGAGTGACTGATCTCAGTTAAAATTAAATATCCCTCTGGCTTTATTGTGGTGAAAGGCTTAGAAGGGTGTATGCGATAAACCTGGGATACGAAATAGGCACCCATTGCAGTAGTTGAAGCAGGAGATGATGGGGCTGGGACCAAAAGAGCAAGTGGAGATGGATACAAGGGGATAGGTGGGGCCTATTTTTGTGCTGAGAGCTGTAGAGGAAAGCGAGGAGAAGGGAGGAGACAGAAAGATGTTTCTAGTTTAAGCAACTGGGTGAATGGCAATGCCAATAACTGAGTTAGGAGGACCAGAGTAGTAGAAACAGGTGTTGAGAAAGAGAAATGGGACAGGCATTTCTCTTTTGGCCATGAAGAAAAGAAGATGATCCAAATGAAAGGTCAATGAGACACCTGAATAATCTGGATGAAGAATCTGGCTGGAGGTAAAAATATGGGTTTATCTACATATACACAGTGTTTATTCTCATGCAGTAGCAAAGCTGAATACAGTGAAAGCTGAGCAGCGAGTGACTGGTCTCAGTTAAAATCTTAAATATCCCTCTGGCTTCATTGTGGTGAACCATTGGCCTGCAGGAGAAAATATCCATAAGAGAAGAGAAGGCACCTCTGGTCTGAGCCCTGTGGAGCCCAGACGTTTCTGGGACAGGCAGAAGAGAAGAATGCAGGGATGTGAGAAGTGAAGCTTGTCCCACAGCACCCAGTGAGTAAGGAACTGAGCTGTGACTGCCGATGCAAGGTTTGTGAGGAGTCCTGCAGAGTGCCCCGCCCCCCGCAGCTTCAATTACTGTAACAGCCTCTTCCACCTCAAGCCCTTCCATCTGACTTTCAAGGCCAGCTTTGACTTCTCCCTCTTTCTCCAACCTACTTCTGACACCACAAATGTTCCTAAACACTCCACAACTTACAAAGCTCTAGATGCCTATAGGATGCAATTTTATGTAACAGCAACAATTGCAATGATAATATTTGTTCATTCAACACATTTTGAGTGTGTGCTGTGGGCCAGGCCCCCTTCAAGCCCCTAAGGAGACTGCAGAGAACAAAGTCTCTGCTCTTGTGGGTTGACATTGGGAAGGGGGCTTCTTTAGTCTGTTTTTTTTTTCATAGATCCTTTATTGGTCATACTCATTTCCACCTCTACAAATGTTTCCTCCATCCTTCTCAGCCTATTTCCTCCCCTCCACTTATCCAAATCCTCAGTTTTCCATGGAAGCCAGACAGGCTGAAAATAGCATGTTACGTTCCCACATGTGGGCACTGATATATCTGAATGTAAACACTGCCTTATCACCTCTATGCCTTCCCATAGGGATACACACCTACCTACTGAGAGACCTCCAAACAGAGACATCAACATAGAAACCTCCGCAGAGATAACCAGATCTCCATATGCAAACTCATGCAAAAAGAAACCTAGAGAGACAGATGCCCAGAAGAGGGGTGTGAGTATAAGCTTTGGTGAGTAAAACCAAAGTGTGAATTTAGGGGGAAATGAGTACTGTAGAGAAAATGAACAGGGCTAGAGGAGATGGAGGAGAGGGTACAGAAATGGTCAACAAAGCAACTTTAGGACACCCAGACAGAACGTTAAGCTTGGATAGCCCCTAAAGGGCTTTTGGTGGTATTCTGAACTCCCATGCCTGGCCCATTACCTACTGCCAAGATGAAAAGGAGAGGGATAGCCATGTTCAGAGCTTTTCTCAGGAGCCCAAGTTCAGAGGAAGTCTCCTGCAAAGGTCAGTTCATCTCCATCCAGCACAGGCTATATTAGGGAAATTTCACTGGGTGTTAACCTATTTAACACTAAAGCCTTCTCAACCATGTAGATTAGTCTAATGCTCTCTGATGGGGTTATCTAGGTAATTCTCTCCTTCGCTTACCTATGGCTAACAAACAACTTCCATTAGCACAAGTGACCTGGTCAGTTAGTGAATTGTGCTTAGTACACGTGAAGGCTCATCTGTATGAAACAGTGGGATACTGATTAGTTTCCCTCTATTCCAGCAGATGGAGCTACCGCCTGGAAGGACCCAATGTGCTTCAGTGCCTGATGCCCACTCCTCAAAAAACAAAACAAAACCCAAAACAAGAAGCGGTGTAGAGAGAAAGGAAAATTACCAAAAGGAAAAATTACTTGGTCTAGAATTATTTAGTGACTGTCCAAGTACCTGCACCAGTGTCTGACCAATAAAGCATATTCAATAGTGAATACATGTGACATAATCTGATGATCAGACGGTAGCTTGAGTTTGGAATAGTAATTCTGTCCTCCTTTTTCTGCTTGTTCTCTCCTCTCCCTTTGATCTTTGTATATTCATGTCCTTTGGACACCCACCTCCATCAAAATGTCATAGAAAACTTCTGTGAAATTTGATTGGAGGTCAAACTGATGTCAAATGGAGGTGTGGGGAAAGGCATGTGATAAAAATAGCCCCACTGAGGTTCCCACTTGTTTCCCATGCCGTAGCAATAGGCCCTAGGCAGTGTTTCTCAAAGTGTTTCCCCAGCCCTCTGCATCAGTATCAGCTGGGTTGTTTGTCAAAAATTCCAATTCCCAGGCCACGCCCCAAAGAATCTGATTCAGCGCTTCTGGACTGGGGCACTCTAAGTAGTTCTGTAAAACACAGCTTGAGAATCTCACTCATAGATTAAGGAGAGCGAGCAATCTTTTTATCCTTAATCCTGAAATCTAAAGAGTACTGAGTACTGAAAACTGAAAACTGCTGGATTTTCATAACGCATTTTGGCGGCAAAATCTGATCCATGAAGTGACATCAAACTATAAATGATCTTTATTTCATATAATGTGGATATTCACACACTTTAATGCAGAAATACTGGTGTGTTTGATTAGAAGTAGCTCTCCCTGACCCTACTGGTGATGTGTGGTATGTACACTGTATTGACCAGTCTTTCGAAAATCCAAGAATTCTTGAATTCAGAAACACACTTGGTTTTAGTGTGTTTCTGAACCCACACTTGGGTTCAAGTAAAGGGCACCTGCACTAAATCCTCATGTCCAGTCTATAGGTGGTGTTTGAAGCAGTTCTATTTGGCTCTGATTTTTTTTTTTTTTTAAACTAGTGAAAGGAATGTTGGTTTGGGAGCCAGAAGACATCATCTTTCTGGGCTTTGAGTCTCTGCCCTGAGAAGGAGATGACATTTAAAGTCTTCTGTCTCTAAAATTTTGATTTCCACACCTTCTTGCTTTCTTAAGAAATGTTCAGATATTACTGCCATAAAGATTATATTGTTGTGTATTTTTATTCGTATTAAAAGTTTAGAAAGGTGAAACTCTTTTTCTTTCTCATAGAGTTTCAGACAGATGCTTGGCTGACATTTCTCTCAGTGGTGTGAAAGGACATTTACCCAGATTCTACAGATATTTTGATAGATTACTGCTCTCAACAAAACTGCAATGAAACTACTAAAATACAAAAGCAATTGCGAACTCCAGAGAGTGCTATAAAACATTGCAGAAGAGAGTATGGTTTATGTTAATTACAGAGGACTAACAAGATGTAGAATGAGAGAGCTGAAAAAGCCTCCACTACCAGTGGCTCTTAGAGGGTAATCAGTCCAAGGGCAGCGCGCTGCCTGCTAGCAGAATCCTTGTGATCCCAAAACCCACATGGCTGGGGTCTCTCTCTAGTCCTTTATACAGTAATCAATATTTAAATGATCACCCTAAAGCCCTGTCAAGTCCTGAAGCAAGATTTTGAAAAATAAAAAAACTCATAAAACACAAAATAGAGCAAAACAATGAGCTCTGAGTTTGCTCTGTTGAAAGCAATGGGTTGAACCCTGTCTCCCCATAACGAATGTTGAATTCCTAACCTCCAGTACCACAGGGTGTGACCTTATTTGGAGATGCAGACATCACAGAGGTAATGAAATTAAAGTGAAGTCATTGGGATGGGCCCGAATCTGTTACAACTGGCAATTTGGACACAGACACATTCAGATGGAACACCATGTGAACATAAAGGTGATCATCTACAAGTCAAGGGGAGAGGCTGGAACAGATCCTTCTCTCCCAGGCCTCGGAAGGAACCAACCTGGTCAACACTTTGATCTTGGACTTCTGGCCTCCAGAACTGTGAGACAACAAATTTGTGATCTTCTGTTACAACCCTAGCAAAATGCACTGTAACACCCGATTTCTAATCTGATAGCAAAGGGAGGCATCTACAATCTACATCTTGTACGTTTGGGCAGTCATTTCACCACTGGCTTCATTTATGTCCTATTCTTTCTTTTCCATTTGTTTCATTTTTCTAATTTTATCTTCTATTTTTAAAAAAGTTTACCATACTAGATGTAACTGTATAAGGTGCCTGAAATTCTTCTTAGGTTTGGAGATGATATAAATTGGTAAATAAAGATTATCTGACCTTAAGCACATGTAGCTCATACATGATTGAGATGAAACAACTAAATAGCAAAATATTAATTTATAAAACAAATTAAACAGCAAATAAATTAAATTATAAAATCTGACTCTCCTGGACCATTGGATGAGGAACTCTAAGGGTTGACAAAGATTTCATAGAGCAAATGATTTCCGCACTCTGGGAAAGAATTCTTCAGGCAGTATATACCACTTTAAAATGGTGCTTACGTCACCAAAACATCAGGGCTGTCTTCAACTTTTCACAACACTGAGCAAAGAGAGAGGAAGATCACTTCTAAATGGAGTGTAGCAGCGATTTTATGAAGTGTGTAAGGAACATGACCATTTACTGAGCATCTGCTATATAGCAGGCACTCTGCTAGACATTTGTTATGGAATGAATACTTTAATCTGTATAATAAACTTGCTAGGATATATTTTATACCAGTCCTACTTAAAACCAATAAATATGAGGCTCAGAAAAGTAAATTAACTCGTCTAAGAGCAAGTAATTAGTAAAAAGTTGAGTTCGGATTTGGTATGAAGAAAAATCTGACCTAAACTTGACAATATTTCTGCTTCTCCAAATTGCTTCCTTAAAGTGTTTGGTTCTCTTCAATACACTTGAAAATTATCAATACCTATAGAAATGTCTGATATAAAGTCTTAGTTTAAACTAGAACATTTAGAAATTTTAGGCCCAGAGACTAAAAAATATGTGAAATTAGTATAAAAGTATGGTCCAGGTGTGGTGGCTCATGCCTGTAATCCCAGCACTTTAGAAGGCCAAAGTGGGCGGATCATGAGGCCAGAAGATTGAGACCATCCTGGCAAACATGGTGAAACCCGTTTCTACTAAAAACACAAAAATTAGCTGGGCATAGTGGCGTGTATCTGTAATCCCAGCTACTCAAGAAGCTGAGGCAGGAGAATCACTTGAACCTGCAAGGTGGAGATTGCAGTGAGCTTAAATTGTATCACTGCACTCCAGCCTGGGTGATAGGGTGAGACTCCATCTCAAAACAAAACGAAACAAAAAAAGTATGTAAAAATGTTTGTAAAGAAATGATGATACCTTCATAGACCAATGTGGCATGTAAAACATGTGGGCCACAGAGGAAGATTAAGAAAAAAATACATGCAATCAAATAATAAAAGTGGAGTTACTCCAGGCTATACTTTTTACCAATTTCTTAGTGAGTAGAGATTAGTAGTTAATTATAGAACCACTTTCTATATTAAGTCTAGATATTACATTCTAATCCTTAGAAAGTAGGCTGTGGAAGAATGAATAATTACCCTCCAAGGCCCATTCTCTTCTTCTCATAGGAGAATTTATGGTTGCCCAGCTAAAGCTCTTATTTTTCAGCACTCTTTGCAGATGTGTATGGTTATGGACTCAGTTATGGCCAATGGACTATGAGTAAAGGTCCTGTGTGACACGTTTGCTGTGCTCTTAAAGTGGAGGAGTGTGCCATCTCATCCCCGTGCTCCCTTTGTTGGCTTGGAAGCTGGCAGGGTGGTAGGAGTTAAACCAGCTGTTATGGACTTTCAGATGGAAACCACTGGTTAAGGATGAGGGAGCAAGAAAAAGAAGATCCTCAAGATTGTGTGGCTCATTTACCAGCCTGAGTTCCCAACCTGTGTTTTTGTATTGCAGGAAAATAAAGTGTGTGTGTTTTAAAGCCACAGTTATTTTGAGTTTCATTGTTACTGCAGCCAAACTAATATTCTAACAAATAAACTATAACTAAGAATTAAACAGAGCACTCAGTTCCCCAAATCTCCTGGATATGAGTGTATGCAAAAATTCTCCATGTAGAACTGTATACTTTATTTTGGTATTCATATTATGGTCCATTTTCTGCCAACAACTGTTAGGCCTTGTCATTTCCTTGGTTTCTGAACTCTCTTCAGGGAAAAGTCTGCCAAGGGATTCTGGCTTCTAATGTTGTCTTATGATCCAGAAACCTTGGGTCATTTGTTTTAAACGCAGGATAAGCATAATTGGGAAAGTGAAGACACCATAGGATGATCTGCTACTTATTAGTGATTTTGTTTATTCCCAAACAGTCCAAAAGGGTCTGGAAATTTCTGCCGTAATCTGACTTATATGAGCCCTTTGAAACCTGGGCAGCATGTTGGATCAGGAGTTTCTCAGACTTGTCTGAGGTTTTTAGATATAGTACATGGGCAGCTTCCTGAAGAGGGGTGCAGCGGAAGCATGTGTGTGGAGGAGGTGTTACAACCAGAATTCCCCTGTAGTCCCCATTTCTAAAATAAGGTTTAGAGAAGATGTGGGAGGAGTCCCCCCAAACCACTAAAATGTCTCAGTTGTAAAACTGATGACTCTTTGGTGAGCACACAAAGCCAACAGCTTCAAGTTCTGTAGTCCATTTTGATGAAGAAAGAAAAAGTAAAAGGGCATTTACCCAATTTCTGTGGATGATTGAACAGGCTATTGCACTATGCAAAACTAGCAAGTACTAAGCAAATACTAGAAAACTTATTGCAGAGTTTGAAGCAGAGTTAGTTTCAGGTAGGATCAGGAATTGCACATAGCCTCTTGAATTCCTTGTCTTCACTTTACATATCCCATAGCAGAACACAAGGGGTCAGCCTCATATAATGGATGCTAGAGTCTGGGGGGTAAGGTGGGATGGAGAAAGCAAGGAGACCACCTGGGGATATTAGCTATATCCTGCTTTACAAGAAATGCTATAGGGAGTTCTTCAAGTTGAAACAAACACAAACAAACAAAAGGCTAACAACATGAAAACATATGAAAGTATAAAACTCAAATATAAAGTCATAAAGTCATAAAACACTGTAAAATAAGAATATAGCCAAATTCAGAATACTCTGATATTGTAATGTAGGTTCACAAATAACTTTCAACTCAAGTATAAAAGTTAAAAAACAAAAGTATTAAAAATAACTATAGCTATAATAATTTGTTAATGATACATGATACACAGTAGAGGTAAACTGTGATATCAATAACTTAAAATATGGGGAAGAAAAGTTAAAGTGCAAAATTTTTCAGAATTTGATGACTTTCTTTTACAGTGAGCTTCATATCTTCATATGTTTTCATGTTATTAGTTAGCATCTTTTCATTTCAACTTGCAGAACTCCCTATAGCATTTCTTGTAAAGCAGGTCCAGTGGCAATGAACTCCCACATACAGCTGAAGTTGAGTTGTTTTCTGCTTAAAATAGACTATTATAATTACAAGATGCTTTATGTAAGTCTCATGGTAAGCAGCCGCCCCCCCGCCCAAAAACTGTAGTAGATACATGAAAGATAAAGAGAAAGGAAGCAAAGCATACTACCACCAAAAATCATTATATTATAAAAGAGGTCAACAATAGAGGAAGAATGGAACAAAGGAGCTACAAAACAGTCAGAAAACAATTAAAGTGGCAGTAGTAAGTTCTTGCCTATCAATAATTAATTTAAATGTAAATGGCTCAAATTCTCAAATATAAAGTCATAAAGTGGCTGATGGATTAAAAAAAGACTTCATTATATGCTGCCTACAAGAGACTTGCATTAGATTTAAAAACCCATGCAGGCTGAGAGTAAGGAGAGAGGAAAAAATATTGCATAAAAATGGTAACCAAAAAAGAGCAGGGGTGTCTATAGGTACATGAGATGAAATATACTTTAAGTCAAGAACTGTCACAAGAGTCAAGGAAGGTCACTATATAATAATAAAGAGACAGGTTTATCAAGAAGATATAATAATTGTATATATATATGCACCCAATATTGGAGCACCTAAAATATTAAGCAAGTATTAAGAGAACTAAAAGAAATAGACAGCAATAAAGTAATAGTAGGGGACTTCAGGTACCTGACTTCCAACAATGGATAGATCATCCAGACAGAAAATCAAAAAGAAAACAGCAGAATTGAACAATGCTATAGGCTAAATAGACCTAATATACATGAACAGAACATTCCACCCAACAGCAGTAGAATACACATTCTTTTCAAGTGCACATGGAACATTCTCTAGGATAAATTGTATGTAGGTCACAAAACAAATTTAAGAAAATTAAAATCCTATCAAATATATTTTCTAACTACGATAGTATGAAACTAGAATCCAATTATAGGAGGAAAATTAGAAAATCCACAAATTATGGAAATTCAACAACACACTCTTGAGCAATAAATGGGTCCAAGAAAACATTTTTTAAAATCTTGAGACAAATGAAAATGGAAACACAATGTACCAAAACTTATAGGATGAAACAGGAACAGCTAAAGAGAGAAGTTTATAGTAATAAATACCTACATAAAGAAAGAAGAAAAATCTCCAATAAATAATCTAAATGTACACTTCAAGGAACTAGGAAAAGGAAAACAAACTAAGCCCAAAGTCAGCAGAGAGAAGGAAATAATAAAGACCAGAGCAGAAATAAGTAAAATAGAGGCTAGAAAACCAAAAGAAAAATTCAATGATCCTAACACTTGGGTTTTGGGAAAAATAAACAAAATTAAGAAACTAGCTAAATAAACTGAAAAGAGAGAGAAAATTCAAGTAAATAAAATTATAAATAAAAAGGAGATATTACAGCTGATATCACAGAAATACAAAGAATCATAAGCAATTACTATAAATAATTATATGCTAACAAATTGGATAATCTAGAAAAAATGGGTAATTCCTTGAAACATACAATCAACCAATACTAAATGATGAAGAAGTAGAAAAGATATACAGACAAAAAACAAGTAAGGAGAATGAATCTGTATTTGAAGACCTTTCAGTAAAGAAAAATCCAGGACCTGATGTTTTCACTGATGAATTATATCACATATTTGAAGAAGAATTAATGCCAATCCTTCCCAAAGTCTTCCAAAAAATTAAAGAAAATTGAACACCTTCAAACTTACTTTATAAAGTCAGCATCACCCTGATACTAAAGCTGAAAAAAGACACAACAAGAAAAAAAATTATAAGCCAAGATGAACAATGATGTAATAATCCTTAATAAAATACTAGCAATATTCAACAGCATATTAAAAAGATCATACACCATGACCAAGTGTGGCTTATTCCTGAGATACAAGGATAGCTCAACATACACAGATCAATATATATGATACACCACATTAACAGATTGAATAGTAAAAATAATATAGTCATGTCTATAGATGCAAAAAAATCCACATTTGATCAAATTCAACATCCTTTCATGATTAAAACTCTCAACAATGTAGGTATTGAAGGATGTACTTCAACATAATAAATGCCATATATGACAAGCACACAGATAACATCACACTCATTGGTGAACATTTGAAAGCTTTTCCTCTAAGATTAGGAATAAGATAAGGATAGTCACTCTCAACACTTCTATTCAAGGTAGCATTAGAAGTCTTAGCCAGAGCTATTAGGCAAGAAAAAGAAGTGAAAAACATAAAATCATAAAGAAAAAAGTAAAATCACATGATCACATGATCTTATATATAGAAAACAGATCACATGATCTTATATATAAAAAACCTCAATGACTACACCAAAAACAAACAAATAAGCAAAAAACAAACAAACAAAAAACAACAAAAAGCTGTTACAAGAAATACATTTGGAAAGGTTGTAGGACACATTCTGTACACCAGCAATGAACATCCAAATAAAAATCTAGAAAGCAATCCCATTTTCAGTAGCATAAAAAATATTTAGGAATGATTTTAACCAAAGAGATGAAAGATCCCTATACTGAAAACTATAAAACACCTATGAAATAAATTGAAGAAAAAAATTGGAGGTATCCTGTGTTCATAGATTGAAAGAATGGATACTGATAAAATGTCTATATTACCCAAAGTGATCTATAGATTCAATGTAATCTCTATTAAAATTCCAATGATGTTTATTACAGAAATAGAAAAAAAATCCTAAAATTCACATGGAACTACAAAAGACCATAAATAACCAAAACAGTCTTGAGCAAAAAGAACAAATCTGGAGTCATCACATTACCTCATTTCAAAATATACTACAAAGCTATTGTAATCAAAATGGTATAATATTGGCAGAAAAACAGACATAAAGGTTAGTAGAACAGAATAGAGAGCCCGGAAATAAATCCACACATTTATAGTCAATGATCTTCAACAAAGGTGCCAAACACAATAGGCAAATGACAGTCTCTTCAATAAATGGTGTTGGGAAAACTAGATGTCCACATACAGAAGAATAAAGTTAGGCATTTATCTCAAAATGGATTAAAGTTTAAACATGAGAGCTGAAATTGTGAAACTACTAGAATAAAACACAGAAAAGAAGCTTCTTGACATTGGTGAGCAGGGCAATGATTATTTGAATATGACCCCAAAAGTATAGGCAACAAATGCAAAACCAGATAAATGTGATTGCATCAAACTCAAAAGCTTCTGAACAATGAAGAACATAATCAACAGACAGAAGAGACAACCCACAAAAATGGGAGAAAATATTTGCACATGATTTATCTGGTTTTGGGTTAATATCCAAAATATAAAATGAACTCCAACTCAATAACAAAAGAATAGAAACACAAATTACCCAATTAAAACATAGGCAAAGGACCTCAATAGACATTTCTCAAAAGAAGACATGCAAATGTCCAACAGATACAATTAAAAAATGCTCAAAATTACTAATCATCAGGGAAATGCAAA